ATAAATAAAAACTTAAATGAATTCAGTCAAAAATAAATACAAACACTGGTTTTTACACCTACAAAACTATGGGTTCATCATCTACTGATTTGGTATTCTTACGACGACGTGATGATTTAATTTTCGACAGAACACTATAGGCCTGTTGTATCTCAATGAATCGTTGATTGGCAGCAGCCTTTTGTGTTTCATCTTTAACCTTATCGGGATGATATTCTTTCGAAAGACGGCGATAGGCTGCTGTGATTTCCGACTGAGAAGCGGTGGCACTAACACCCAATACTTTATAGGAATTACGCTCACCATCTACATCCATTGATTCAAATATTTCCTTCCAGGTCTCATACCAACCATGATGTTGAGCATAGTTATAGGTGTCTTGTAAGGCCTGAGCTATATCGGTCCACCAGGCCGAGGCTAAGAAGTTTTGGAAGGCTTCATGTATGGGCACTTCATTGCCATCTTCATCGGATATGGTGCCATTAAGTAAAGGAAACAACCCCAGAGGGAGAAGTAAATACACAGGGCCCCGGTGAATTTTAAAGTTCTCTCCAATTTAACCGCGCCTTTTGGTGGTGTACGCAGCCATTCTTTGGAGAAATGATCGAAAATGAGTCCCGAAGCCAAGGCGGTAATGAGGAGGGTGTAGGTTTCATCATAAATGAAATAACGCACTGGATAGGCGGCAAAGGCCGCTAGAAGACACACAATACACCCTTTTCACGACCTATATTGCCCACAGTCCAAACACCCAAAGCCACAAATACGGGTATCAGCCAATGTAAAAAGCTAAAGTCAATGCCCATAAAAAGAGTCTCGGGTATGGCCATCTGATAAAGTTGACCAAATAGATAACCAATCATAACTTCACCCAAAAAACGTTTACCCGAATAGGGAGGTTTACGATAGTGCTGCAATTTCTTAACAAATTCCTCTATAAATTTGGGATCTTCATTGGCATCACGTACATAACTGGGTATATTGAAGACTTCAAATATCCAACCCATACCAAAGTAGCCGCCCAAAGTACACCACCAAATAAAGGCGTGACGATCACGATGCAAGTAAATGTGATGTAAACCAAAAATACCACCAAATAGCCAAAGTACATAGGCAGTTATTAGGGATTTTTGGGGCGGCATGGAATTGGCCTCGAATTTGTGACTCTTACCATTTGTATGTTGCAATTTGCCATTCATTACAGGGAGTGATCTTTAAGTTTATCTTTGGTCATTTTGTTCTGTAAAAAACGAATTTTAATTAAAGTTTTAAATATTCAAATTCAGAAAACTTACATTTTTCGTGTGGTTTAGATTCTTCAACTATTTTAAAACATTTATTGACTGAATGAATACTTTCTCTTTTCACGTATTCTTTCTTGAGCCACCAACAAAATCACGTATCTACACCAATAACAAAAGTAAACTGTGTACTTCTTTCGGCCTTTTGTAAAGACACGTCAGTTTAGGCTTAATTCAATTTATTTTTAACTTTATTATTTTTAATTAAAATATTTTTCTTAAATAATCGTTTTACTTAATAATTTTTATCTTTGTTTGGTATTATTACTTTTTTAATTACTTTATTTTTGCTTTCTTTTCTTTAGTTTTTCTATATTTTTCGTTGTTCTGTCTTGATGGTTTGCTTTTCAACTACAATCTTTGTTTAAAACTTAAAAATGTTTAAGCCAAGCACTCAGCCAGACTTCTAAATCAGGTCAAGAAAGAAATTTTTGTTTGTTTGTGAAGTTCAAGAGAAAAGTCTCTGGATTACTTTTAAAATTCCCTTATAAACCGAGTTTATTACTTCTGCTCTCTTAAATTTACCAATCAGCTGTGAAATTGGTAATTTTGTAATAAAGCAGGTTGTTGTCTGTACTAAGTAGCCACACATAGTTGGCAATAGCATCAAATGTAAACGTAAATAACAATATTTTTCCATCCCTGACTTGTGACATTTACAAAACACTTTGCTATCATCTCAGTTTGTATGATTTCTTATCAAATCAACATAACACGAAAAAGTGACAGTTTTATTATTATTGTTGGAGAAATTTTTAACAAACAATTAAATTTCACAAAAAAAATAAAATAGAATTACAATTAATCAATGGCTACCATACAATATAATCTTGTAATATTCGCTTTGATTTTAGCTTTAATAAATAGCTCGCTTGCCATACAAGCACGAAGTGACCGTGAACAACAAGTTTCAGGAGCTGTGGCATCATCACGCACTGCTGACAACACCAATGTCTATCATTATTGGGGACCCAAAGTGTTGTGCTCCATGTTACCCGATGATTTTATAGAATGCAATAAACCTATTGATCATAAACTGAATAAAACCGCCAAAGAGGAAAAAGGTTATGGTGTCTTAAGTTTGGTGGCCTTAACTATGAAGATGTCGAACACACCAAGGTGCAGTGTACAGTCTTCCCTGATATAGATTGCATGGCCCCAGGACATTTCAACGTGATGGTGTACCCTGTATACGCTATTCTGAACATTATTTCCTTACCACTTTGCTGTATAGTTTGCTTTTGGGTTTCCTTGGGTATGGATCGCTTTTGTTTGGGACAAACTGGTACGGCTGTGGGCAAACTGTTGACTTTGGGGGGTGTAGGCGTTTGGTGGGTAGTCGATATTATTCTATTGATTACCAATCGTTTGACACCAGAGGATGGCAGTAATTGGAATCCCTATGTCTAGCATAGGTTTTTGTGGGAAACGAGAAGTGGTGCGTCGTCAGACAATGTTGATAGATTCTAAGAGATACTAATGTGATGTATATGTATATATTTTTGTATGTATTATTAAGGATATTTCTACAAAATTCTTGTTAATTATAAATTAGTGTGTTAAGTTGTATAAAATTAAATCAAAATATATAATTATGTTAACAAAATACAGGAATTATTTATAAAACAAAATAAAATCTACTTTTTCATTGATTCTCATGTATTGCTTTAAAACAAATACACACTCTGCCAACCAAAGCAGTTATATATAGAGGCTACAAAATCTAACTAATCGTTTGTAAATACAGCAGAGTCAGTTATTAAATTAACTCTGTCCAACAATTAAAGTTGTTACTATTTGTTACAGGTTTTCTCAAAAACATTTGAAATTTATATTGAAAAACAATATAGTTTGTAAAATTTTAATATTCAAAAAATAAATTATTACCACCATTGGTCATAAATCAGAAACTAAAATAAAATGAATTTTTCTTCTAAAATATAATTAAGAAATGTCGTTGCTGTTTCTAGTAAAAATAGTAATAAAAATATATTTACAGCCAAAAACTTAAATAATAATAAAAAGAACAATAATTTAAAATAATAAAATTGTCAAAATTTTACTATTTTATGTTTCACTTCTTATTTTGCCTGAAGCTTAGTGAATTAACATTGTTCTATGAAGGAATCTTATCCCTGAATTCCAATGACCAATAATACTTTTAGGAATAAGAATATAGTTCATTTGAGGTTGAAATATCGGCCATAAGCAACAAATTGGCTTATTCAGTCAAATTGATGTTAAAATATTGTTTCAATACCAAAATATAATTGATTTAAAAATACAGATTCACATTTCCTTTCAACAAAAACACCATATATGTATTAGACTATATTGACTTTATTTAATTAAGTTTAAATTTATAATTGCAAGAAGTTTTAAAATTACATATTATTTTTAAATTTTATTTTCAAACTTAAAGTTTAGGTAAACCAGCTGAAATAGAACTTTCAATGCCGCAATGATCCTCACCACGTAAAATCTTAAAGTAACCATTGTTACCCCAATCAGTATTCCAGGAATTGGCAATCAACCAGTAGGGAGTGTTATTCTCGACACCCCAACCTAACATACGAATAGCATGGCCGCCCAATTCACGACCATGAACATGCTGATAAACGCCATCCTTGTAGAGAATTAAATCTTCATAAACAGTAAAGGCTCCCTCGACAGGACCATTGGTCATAATTTCCTCTTGAATATCACGAACATTGCGACGAACCGAATATGATTTAGAGCCAAAATGTTTATCTTTGCTATAGTCGACGTTATAGGATTTCTGACATTGATGTTGACAACGAGGTGTCTTGCCATGTTCACCATCACAGGGTGGACGAGTGCCATTCACGTGATGTTCACAAGGAGAAATTTCATAGGGACGACAACCCTGGTTACTGCCATAAGGACCACCACTTACAATACCTTTACGTGTCCAGTAGGCCCAGGCGGCACCGGGGAAGCCACCATTACAACCGAAACCGCAAGTGTGGCAACATGACACCAAATCATCGGCAGAGAAATGGAAATGTGTCGATGCATTGGAATGTATGCAAACCTAAATATAACAAAACATGAGATAAGAATAATATTTTTTATTTAATGCATCTAACTTGTTATTAAAGCCAATACAAAGACTATTGTGAAAAAAATCAGAAAAATAATGATAACAATTGGTTTGTGAAAACAGCAATTTGCGTTGTTGCTTTTGTTTTGATAATCAGCAATAAATTGTACTCCCTTCAATTTGAGTTTGTTACTCTTTGAAAACAAAAACCGCAATGAATTTAAATGTTTAATCAGTTGCATATAGTATATTCTAAAGAAATAATTTCCCAATAAAAAATATATGATTTTGTAGCAATTTAAAATTTTGTAGTGGTTTAAAGAAATTATCATAAATTTTAGTTTTCTTTACCTAAAAGGGCTATTTATTTTTAAGGATCTACATAATTATTTAAGTTTTTCATATAAAAATAAATTTTTAATGCAAAATATGGTTAATCACAATTTTTTAAATTTTTTAAAACCTAATTGTGTTGTGAAAAAATTTGAAATAAAAGCATAACAAAGCATTTTCAAGTACATAATTACTTGATATTAATATTTGCATTATATTGGCTTTGGAAAATTTTATATTTACATTTCAATAGTGGACGCCTATAAAACTACACAACTTACCCGATCAGACATAGCCTCAACAGCACCGAAAGCCCAACAGGAACCACATGATCCTTGATCTCTAATCTCTTTAATAGTGGGACAATTTGGCCAAGCTGTCCTGGCATCAAATTCAGTTGGTATCTCACCATCAGCTAACCCTACATAATCTCCCAATACCAAACGTTTTTCGGGCAAGGCAAACTTATGAGCATCGGGATGTACACCCATTAAACGATGAATATGGCTCCTAGGCACTGACTTGGCAAAATTTCTGCCAGCTTTCCATGTTTTTGCCTTACTACGCACAATCTCTATGAACTCATCCGATAGTAGGTCATGTTCGGCATCAAGATTTGCAATCACCTGACCTATTGTCAGGATAGCCACACAAATTAAAAGAAAATGCTTACGCATTTTGTTTTTCTAACTATATTATTTTAATAACAAAGAACTTTTAGGTTTAACAACTAATTGATGATTAATCCAAGTCAGTAAGCAGCCAGTCGAAAATAGTGTAATTAACAATAGAACGTCGTCGTTTTGTTGAAAATACAGAAATAAATCAAATAACGATACAGTAGATTACAAAGTCAACACAAAACAAAAACAATAAGAAACAATGGCGTACGATTAGAACCCAGCGACGACAAACATTTCGACGACGGTTGAAATTCAAAATTACGGCGGCGACTTACAAACAACCATACACGGCAATGCTTTTAGGTGTGTTTTTAAAAATTTCAATGATATTAAATAAAAACGGAATACCAGTAATTAACATATTTATTTTTAAAATTGCCATATATAAAATAGGGACTTCATACAACTTAAAAAAGGCAATATTCCACTTCGTCGAATCTTAGTAAATTAATTTTTGACAATTGCGAAAATAGCAAAAATCATATATCTTACTAAAAATCGATTTTTATGTGAGAAAACTAAAATCGGCTCTAGCTCTTAAAAAACCCTCCAATTGAGAAAATAATGAAAATCTGTGATCACTCATATTTCCCACTAAAAATCGATTCTTATATGAAAAACCTAAAATTGACTTTAGTTTCTTAGATAACGCTCCACTTGAGAAAATAGTAAAAATCTGTGATCAATAATATTTCTCACTAAAAATCGATTTTTATTCTACAAATCTAAAATCCGCTGTTTCTTAAATAACGCCTCCAATTGAGAGAATAATGAAAATCTCATATTTCTCACTAAAAATCGAATTTTATATGAAAACCCTAAAACTGGCAGCAGTTTCTTAAATAACGCTCCAATTGAGAAAAGAATGAAAATCTGTGATCACTCATATTTCTCACTAAAAATCAAATTTTATATGAAAAAACTAAAATCGACTGTAGTTTCTTTAATAATGCTCCAATTGAGAAAATAATGAAAATCTGTGATCACTCATATTTCTCACTAAAAATAAAATTTTATATGAAAAAAACTAAAATCGTCTGTAGTTTCTTTAATAACGCTCCAATTGAGAAAATAACGAAAATCTGTGATCATTCATATTTCCCACTAAAAATTAAATTTTATATGAAAAAATTAAAATCGGCTGTAGTTTCTTAAATAACGCTCCAATTAAGAAAATAACGAAAAAAGTTTCTTTAATAACGCCCCAATTGAGAAAATAACGAAAATCTGTGATCACTCATATTTCCCACTAAAAATCAAATTTTATATGAAAAAACTAAAATCGGCTGTAGTTTCTTAAATGACGCTCCAATTAAGAAAATAACGAAAATCTGTGATCACTCATATTTCGCACTAAAAATTAAATTTTATATGAAAAAATTAAAATCGGCTGTAGTTTCTTAAATAACGCTCCAATTAAGAAAATAACGAAAATCTGTGATCACTCATATTTCCCACTAAAAATTAAATTTTATATGAAAAAAATAAAATCGGCTGAAGTTTCTTTAATAACGTTCCAATTGAGAAAATAACGAAAATCTGTGATCACTCATATTTCCCACTAAAAATCAAGTTTTATATGAAAAAGCTAAAATCGGCTGTAGTTTCTTAAATGACGCTCCAATTAAGAAAATAACGGAAATCTGTGATCACTCATATTTCGCACTAAAAATTAAATTTTATATGAAAAAACTAAAATCGGCTGTAGTTTCTTAAATAACGCTCCAATTAAGAAAATAACGAAAATCTGTGATCACTCATATTTCCTACTAAAAATCAAATTTCATATGCAAAAATCAAAATCGGCTGTAGTTTCTGTAACAACGCTCCAATTGACAAAGTAATGAAAATCTGTGACCACTCATATTTCGCACTAAAAATTAAATTTTATATGAAAAAACTAAAATCGGCTGTAGTTTCTTAAATAACGCTTCAAATGAGAAAATAACGAAAATCTGTGATCACTCATATTTCAAACCAAAAATCAAATTTTATATGAAAAAACTAAAATGGGCTGTAGTTTCATAAGTAACGCTCCAATTAAGAAAATAACGAAAATCTGTGATCACTCATATTTCCCACTAAAAATCAAATTTTATATGAAGAAACTAAAATCGGCTGTAGTTTCATAAATAACGCTCCAATTGAGAAAATAACGAAAATCTGTGATCACTCATATTTCCCACTAATAATCAAATTTTATATGAAAAAACTAAAATTGGCTGTAGTTTCATGAATAACGCTCCAATTTAGAAAATAACGAAAATCTGTGATGACTCATATTTCCCATTAAAAATCAAATTTTATATGAAAAAACTAAAATTGGCTGTAGTTTCATAAATAACGCTCCAATTAAGAAAATAACGAAAATCTGTGATCACTCATATTTCCCACTAAAAATCAAATTTTATATGAAAATACTAAAATCGGCTTTAGTTTCTTAAATAATGCTCCAATTAAGAAAATAACGAAAATCTGTGATCACTCATAATTTGCAATAAAAATTAAATTTTATATGAATAAACTAAAATCGGCTGTAGTTTCTTAAATAACGCTCCAATTGAGAAAATAACGAAAATCTGTGATCACTCATATTTTCCACTAATAATCGATTTTTATATCAGAAATCTAAAATCGGCTATAGTTTCTTAAATAACGCTCCAATCAAGAAAATAACGAAAATCTGTGATCACTCATATTTCCCACTAAAAATCAAATTTTATATGAAAAACATAAAATCGGTTGTAGTTTCTTAAATAACGCTCCAATTAAGGAAACAACGAAAATCCGTGATCACTCATATTTCCCACTAAAAATCGATTTTATATGAAAAAACTAAAATCGGCTGTAGTTTCATAAATAACGCTCCAATAGAGAAAATAACGAAAATCTGTGATCACTCATATATTCCACTAAAAATCGATTTTTATATGAGAAACCCAAAATCGGCTGTAGTTTTTTTAATAACGCTCCAATTGAGAAAATAGCAAAAATCTGTGATCAATCATATTTCCCACTAAAAATCAAATTTTATATGAAAAGACTAAAATCGGCTGTAGTTTCTTAAATAACGCTCCAATCAAGAAAATAACGAAAATCTGTGATCACTCATATTTCCCACTAAAAATCAAATTTTATATAAAAAACCTAAAATCGGCTGTAGTTTCTTAAATAATGCTCCAATTAAGAAAACAATGAAAATCTGTGATCACTCATATTTTGCACTAAAAATCAAATTTTATATGAAAAAACTAAAATCGACTATAGTTTCTTTAATAACGCTCCAATTAAGAAAATAATGAAAATCTGTGATCACTCATATTTCCCACTAAAAATCAAACTTTATATGAAAAAACTAAAATCGGCTGTAGTTTCTTAAATAACGATCCAATTAAGAAAATAACGAAAATCTGTGATCACTCATATTTCCCACTAAAAATTAAATTTTATACGAAAAACTAAAATCGGGTGTAGATTCTTAAATAACGCTCCAATTAAGAAAATAACGAAAATCCGTGGTCACTCATATTTTCCACTAAATATCGATTTTTATATGAGAAACCTAAAATCGGCTGTAGTTTCTTTAATAACGCTCCAATTGAGAAAATAACGAAAATCTGTGATCACTCATATTTCCCACTAAAAATCGATTTTTATATGAGAAACCTAAAATCGGCTGTAGTTTCTTAAATAACGCTCCAATTGAGAAAATAACGAAAATTTGTGATCACTCATATTTCTCATTAAAAATTAAATTTTATATGAAAAAACTAAAATCGGCTGTAGTTTCTTAAATAACGCTCCAATTAAGAAAATAACGAAAATCTGTGATCACTCATATTTCTCATTAAAAATTAAATTTTATATGAAAAAACTAAAATCTAACAATTAAAATTTATATGAAAAGACTAAAATCGGCTGTAGTTTCTTAAATAACGCTCCAATTAAGAAAATAGCAAAAATCTGTGATCAATCATATTTCCCACTAAAAATCAAATTTCGGCTGTAGTTTCTTTAATAACGCTGCAATTGAGAAAATAATGAAAATCTGTGATCACTCATATTTCCCACTAAAAATCAAATTTTATATGAAAAACCTAAAATCGGCTGTAGTTTCTTAAATAATGCTCCAATCAAGAAAATAACGAAAATCTGTGATCACTCATATTTCCCACTAAAAATCGATTTTATATGAAAAAACTAAAATCGGGTGTAGTTTCTTAAATAACGCTCCAATTGAGAAAATAATGAAAATCTGTGATCACTCATATTTCCCACTAAAAATCAAATTTTATATGAAAAAACTTAAATCGGCTGTAGTTTCTTAAATAACGCTCCAATTGAGAAAATAATGAAAATCTGTGATCACTCATATTTCCCACTAAAAATCAATTTTATATAAAAAAACTAAAATCGGCTGTAGTTTCTTAAATAACGCTCCAATTAAGAAAATAATGAAAATCTGTGATCACTCATATTTTCCACTAAAAATCGATTTTTATATGAGAAACCTAAAATCGGCTGTAGTTTCTAAAATAACGCTCCAATTGAGAAAATAATGAAAATCTGTGATCACTCATATTTTCCACTAAATCGATTTTTATATGAGAAACCTAAAATCGGCTGTAGTTTCTAAAATAACGCTCCAATTAAGAAAATAATGAAAATCTGTGATCACTCATATTTCCCACTAAAAATCAAATTTTATATGAAAAAACTAAAATCGGCTGTAGTTTCTTAAATAACGATCCAATTAAGAAAATAACGAAAATCTGTGATCACCCATATTTCCCACTAAAAATCGATTTTTATATGAGAAACCTAAAATCGGCTGTAGTTTCTAAAATATCGCTCCAATTAAGAAAATAATGAAAATCTGTAATCACTCATATTTCCCACTAAAAATCAAATTTTATATGAAAAAACTAAAATCGACTGTAGTTTCTTAAATAATGCTCCTATTGAAAAAATAGTGAAAATCTGTGATCACTCATATTTCCCACTAAAAATCGATTTTTATTCGACAAATCTAAAATCGGCTGTAGTTTATTAAATATCGCTCCAATTGAGAAAATAATAAAAATCTCACAATTTTCACTAAAAAAATCGGTTTTAGTTTTTTAAAGAACGCTTCAATTGAGAAAAAACATATTTTTCACACTATTTTAACACTTTACACATTTGGTTGAAATGCCCAAATGAGAAAAAATAAATTTTTTTTTTAGCTAAGACATACATATTACACCCATACATATGTACATACATGCATATTTATGTATGAATGTAAGTAGATTTAGGATGTGGCAAAAACAAAAATAAATTCTTAAACATTTTTTGTAATTGTTCTTTAAATTCATCTATTATTTATTCAAAAGAATTCTCTTTAGCAACAGAGATTGATATGGTATGAAATTTGTAATAGAAACAGGAACGTATCGCGAGAAATAGGTTTTAAGAAGTTATCATTAAATCATTAAAATAATTTCAGATTTTCAAACGGAATAAGGGTTTGGGTCAATATGCTCATAGACTTTATGAATCTTTTAAAAGAAAACGGTACATATATTCTGTCGCAGTGTTCGTTCAATGTAGAAAAACTGGAAGCAATATTTTCATCCCAAATTTTTTGTAGTGCTTAGTTTTTCTAACCAGGCCCTTAATATTTCAAATAGGCCTCTGTTAAGGAAAAATCGACTACATGCATACAACTAAAATGTATTTTTATTTGGTCAATTGTAATATTTCTTTCCGTAGCAGCATTTGGTCTATCTCCTACTGTACCAAACATTTAGTAGATATTTTGCGATCAATCTCTGCGGTATTGTACGCGCGACGTTGCACATACAGAGACCAAAGTGGTGACACTTTTAATTATTATTTATTTATTTTTGTTGGTATTTTGCAAAAACAAAAACAAGTAAGAAATTATAGTCGGGCGAGGCCGACCATATAATACCCTACACCTGTTACAAAAATAAAATGTGATTTAGTTTTCATAATAAAGCATTTAAGTTGAATTTCTCCTTGCCTTGAATTATACTTAATCCATTTATTGCTGAATAAAATTGTGGACATTTAAGTCAAATTTTGAAGGGGGATTTGTATAGGGGCTATGGTCAAATGAGACCCTATAATTATAAAATTCATGAGAGTCATCAAGACTAGTATAGAACTTGGTTTTGCAGCTTTTTGTCGAGATACGAGTATATTAAACATAATTATAAACTTAAAATCCCTATTCGTCGGATTCAGTTGTATGGGAGCTAAGTGAAATAATGGACCGATGTTAACCATTTTCAATAGGCTTCGTCTCTGGTACCATAGAAGATCATCTGCCAAATTTCATTGAATTACCTTCAAAATTGCGACCTGTAGTTTGATTACAAGGTTTACAAGCCCTATTCGGGGGTTCAGTTGTATGGGGATAGGTGAAATAATGGAACGATGTTAACCATTTTCAATAGACTTCGTCCCTGGGACAATAGAAGATCATGTGCCAAATTTCATTGAATTATCTTCAAAACTGCGACCTGTAGTTTGATTACAAGGTTTACAAGCCCTATTCGGGGGTTCAGTTGTATGGGGGCTAGGTGAAATAATGGACCGATATTAACCATTTTCAATAGGCTTCGTCCCTGAGACAATAGAAGATCATGTGCCAAATTTCATTGAATTATCTTCAAAATTGCGACCTGTAGTTTGATTACAAGGTTTACATGGACGGACAGACGGACGGACATAGCTAAATCGACTCAGAAAATGATTCTAAGCCGAATGGTATACTTTAAGGTGGGTATAGGACCAATATTATTGTGCATTACAAACATCAGCACAAATCCAATATACCCTCCCCACTAAAGTGGTGTAGGGTATAATAAAAAGGCAAAAAACATCAAAAAGATACAAAAAAAGAAACGTATTCGTACTGTTGTCTTGTCTACATAGTTTATTTATATTTTCCGAAAATGCAAGAAAAATAAACTGAAACTGAATTGCATGTGTGAGACATTAAATTTTCCTTTTTATTTTTGTATTTAATATTTGTGTTTAAAAAAAATGTTCTGTACATTAGGGTGGCCTCGTTTTTGATGTTTCAACCGATTATGAAAGCTTGGTTCAATCTAATATATCATTTGTCAATATTTTTGCCATGGTGTTAATATTTTCTAAGCTGGAACATCTATGAGAAGACTTTTCATTGCGTATAGCTCAGAAAAGGACAATTTTACACTTTGATCCAGGCAAACCAAATATTTACGTCAAAACAAAATAATGAGAAATGGTACCTTAGGACTAAGTTTTCATACTCGACGGAAACAACAGTAACTTCAATTTTGGGACCACCCTACTGTACATACAAACAAAAGGCAATTTTAGTGCATATTTCGAAAAATAAAAGTAGAAGGAACTTTGCAGATATTTTTATTTATATTTACATACAAACACTTATACAAAAATAGTGCAAAATTTCTCAGATACAAACATATTGTGTGTGTGTTTGCTACAACATGTAACCACGACGAGAAACAAAATTTTTGTGCCGCAATTCTTTGTAGAGGAGTTTTTAGTCTTTTTCGATAATTAAACATTCAGTCGAATAGACGACAGATACAGAACAAGAGGTAAGTGAAAAATATCAAGAACTTTGTCTTTATATAACGGCCACATTTTTTTAAATTCACATTATTTAATACTATAGGGATTTGATTTTGAAATACTTATATTATTTAAAAAGATACATACTTATTATTTTAACACATATTTTTGCAGATGAATGTCGAAAAGTTAAGGCGTTTACAGGCCCAGGTCCGCATAGGGGGCAAAGGTACGCCTCGTCGCAAGAAGAAGGTAATGCATCAATCTGCTGCCACAGATGATAAAAAATTACAAAGTTCTTTGAAGAAATTGTCCGTTAGCACAATACCCGGCATTGAGGAGGTCAATATCATCAAAGATGATCTAACCGTTATTCATTTTAACAATCCCAAAGCTCAAGCATCTTTATCGGCCAACACTTTCGCCGTTACTGGTCATGGAGAGACCAAGAAAATAGTGGAAATGTTGCCCGAAATCTTGCCACAATTGGGCCAGGATACTGTCATGCAGTTGCGTATGTTTGCCAATACCATGTCTGGTAATCAAAAGCAGGGTAATGCAGCCTCAAGTACTCTTGATAATGTGGCCGAAGAAGATGATGTTCCCTTGTTGGTTAACGATTTCGAAGAGGTTGCCAAAATGGAGGAGACCAAAAGTGCAAAACCTAAAGGTGATGCTAAAATATCTGAAGAGCTGGCTAAAAATAATGAGAATGGCATTTTGAAAGAAGAGAACAATGAAAAGAAAATTGATAGTTCGAAAGATGCTGCCGAGAAGTTGGATAAAAAATCGAAGAAACAACAGAATAAGCAACAACAGCAGCAGCAGCAACAGTCGGCCAATGGGGCAGCTAAAATTAAATCCGATGCAGGTAAAAACGAAAATAAGCAGCAAAAACAAGCGAAACAAGAAAAGACAAATAAACAAGAAAAAACTCAACCCATAGCTGAGAAAAACGATGTAAGTAAAAACGAACAAAAACCGGCAGACGTTAAACACGAAGCACTAAAGGAAGCGGAAATAGTAAAAGAAGAACTTCCCATACAAAAACAAGAGGCTAAAGTTCAAGAAAAAGCTAATGAAAAATCCCAACCCAAAGCGGAACCTAAGGAAATTAAAGGAGAGGATACAACAAAAACTCCAAAACCCAATAAAGACACTGCCAAAAAAACAGAGGGAAAAGCTGGACCAAAGACCACGGATAAAACAGCGAAACCAACTGATAAACCTGCTGAAAAGAAGAAGGAAGAAAATGCCAAAGAACGCAAGCCTCAAGAAGCTCAAAAGAAAGAGGAAGCTGCTAAAGCCAAAGAAGTTAAAGGTGAACAAACTAAAGTACAAGCTGCAACCAAAGATGTAAAGGAATCAAAGGAATCAGGAGAGAAAAAGAAAGATACTAACCAAACAAAACAACAACAGGATAAACCGAAAGAACAAAAGATGGAAACCGATTCCACAGAAAAGAAAAAGGAAGTTAGTGCACAGCCACCAACAGAGCAAAAACCTATAGCTGAAGCTAAACAGGAAAAATTGGAGAAACCAGCCAGTCAAGAAGACAAATTAAAAAAGAAAGAAGCTACATCCACCAACAATTTAAATAAAATTCCTGAAATGAAAATTGAAAAGAAAGAAGAAACAGCACCTATTGCTATGGAAAAGAATATAGAACCAGCAGCTCCTACTGTTGTCGAACCAGCAATTCAAAAGCAAGAAGTATCTAAACAAACTGCAGTGTCGAGTACAACAAATGCTAGAGAAACAATCGAAAAAACAACCGAACCTCTTGAGGCAGCCAAACCTAAAGAGGAATCTAAAATGCCATCAGAGGCTGTAAAAGAAACTGAAGAAAAACCCAAACAACAAGAAAATACTGCCGAAAAAACAGCGCAAATTATAACCCCTACAGAGAAGACTCCGGAACAAACGGAAATAAAAACCCCTGAAGCCGATAAAGCTAAAGAGAAAATTGCTGCTGGAGCTAGCCAACCAACCAAGCAACCATCACCAAAACCAGCTAATGGTAAAAAGACTCCAACACCTGCAACTCAAACTACAGCCAGCAATAAAAAAGATGAATCTAAAGGTAAAGCTACAACTCAACCAGGTACTCAAACAAAGCCGGCGAAACCAACAACACCGAAACCAACACTACAAACTAAGCCAGTTACACCAGCAAAGACTCCGGATAAAGCTGTTACTCCCACGAAACCAGGAACTCCCACCAAAGCTGTAAGTCCTCAACCTAAACCTGCAATTAAGAAAACATCTTCACCGACAGCTACGCCACCAACAACGCCTATTGAAGGAAATTTGACATTAACCGAGGTAGCAACTGCAGCTAAAACTGCCAATGAACCTCAAAAGAAACCAGCTACGGCACCAAAACCGGCACAGGTTAAAAGTAATCAGCAAAAACCTACAGGTCCCAGTCAAACTTCAGATAATAAGAAAGCTGTGGCAGCAAAACCAAAACAACCATCTCCTGGTAAAACTGCACCAGCTCAACAGGAGCAAAAGAAACAGGCAAGTCCATCGAAATCTGAAGCCAGTAAACAACCTTCATCTCCCACCTCTTTAAATACTCCTCAGCAACATGTTACAAAACAACCATCACCATCTAAGCAATTAACTACAGCAAAACAGCCCCCTCCAACTAAGCAACCTTCTCCAGCAAAGCAAGTTGCTACACCAGCAACTCAAGAACAGCAACCTCAAGTGAAAGCATCGACACCTCAACCAACGAAAGCCAGTACATCTTCAACTGAAGCAAAAGCAACTACGCCTCAACCCGAAACTGAAAAACCAAAATCAGCCACACCACAACCAGACAAGGAACAATTAAAAGTCGCTATTCAACAGCCAGCAACTGAACCCAAAAAAGCCAGTAGTCCTCAACCAATTATTCTACAGCCGGCAAATGAAGCACAGAACGACAACTCTACTCAATCAAATGCTAATCAGCAACAGCTCAATTCACAGTCTCCACAATCCGCTGCACAACAACAAAAATCTTCTACTTCTCAAGCAACTATTTCAGAGGAACTGAAACTGGCTTCACCACAATCAACTTCTAAACAACAGGAATCGCAACCCAAGGCCACCACTCCACAACCTAAAGCCACTACTCCTCAACCTCAGAAAGCTGCTTCATCACAACCAACTGTCCAACAACAACCGAAAGCTAGTACTCCACAACCAACTGGTCAACAGCCGAAAGCAGGTACTCCACAACCAGCTACATCAACACAGCAAGCTGGTACTCCACAAACTGCTGGTCAACCACAGAAAGCGAGTACCCCACAACCGCCCGGACAACCAAAACCCAGCACTCCACAACCAGCAGTAAAACAACAGAAATCGGGAACTCCTCAGCCAGCTGCTCCTCAACAGAAAGCTAGTACTCCGCAACCAGCTGATCAACAACCAAAAGCTAGTACCCCACAACCAGCAACCCCGGCACAACAAGTGAAAGCGAGTATGCCACAGCAATCTGGTCAACCAAAAGGTAGTACTCCTCAACCAATTGGTCAACAACCAAAAGCAAGTACCCCACAACCAGCTTCCCAACCACAGAAAGCCGGTACTCCACAACCTAAAGCCAGCACTCCTCAACCAATGGGTGAGCAGACAAAAGCCGGTACTCCACAACCTCAGAAAGCCAGTACTCCACAACCAACAATTCAATCACAGCAACCAACTTCTCAACCAGCAGTGCAACAACAGCCATCTAATCAACCTATTCCTCAGCAGCCAATTGCTATAGAACAAAAAACTACTACTCCCCAGCCTCCAGTACAAATGGCGCCAACAAATCAACCGCAACAACCCAATACTCAACAAGCAACTACACCAGAAAACAAACCTTAAATACTCTCTCTTGCATTTCATTAAAAAAAAATATTTTAATATCACCCCCATCCTGTAAGGCATTTCACACTAACAACTCTTTTTCTTCCTCTGAAACATTATTTTAGAATTTTTCATATATAATTTTTTATAGAACCTCAACTAACCTTTAACCTAGTTTTGTTTAAAAAACATTTAAAAACCCTCAACCATCCAACCGAAGAATTCTTTTTATAAAAACATTAATTATCATTTTTAAATTTGGATATACATATATACGAAAACGAAATTATGGAAATAACTAATTATTCAAAAATATATAATGGTTAATGGTTGAAACAATTTAATGTGTTTTTTTTATTTCATAGATTATATGAAGAGATATGGATATAATATTTTTTATAAACATTATTTTAGAATTGATTTTTAACTATTACAAAATACATAACAAAGGGTAAAAAATTTTATAGATCTAGACTGTCTGGACTATAGATCTGGACAAATCTATAGTATTGAATAAATGTATGTGCATATGTATATCTAGAATGATCTATAGTCTTGACTATAGATACATCTATAGACAGCTCTATAGGCTTGATCATATAGGCAGATATATAGTCATGACAATAGGCAGATATATAGTATTGACTATAGGCAGATCTATAGTCCTGACTATAGGCAGATCTATAGTTATGACTTTAGGCAGATCTATACTCCTGACTATAGGCAGATCTATAGTCTTGACTATATGCAGATCTACAGTTTTGATAACATAGAATTATAACTGTAGACTGATCTAATGTCTTCACTATAGATCTATAGTATTCATTATAGACCTAGACTGATCTATAATCTTCACTACAGATCTACACTATTGAATAGGTATATATCCAGACTGATTTATATTATTGACTATAGGATGAGTCTTGACTATAAAATGATCTATAGTCTTGACTTCAGACTGTTGTATAAACTTGACAATAAATCGATCTATAAACTAATCTATAGTCTTGACTATAGACTGATCTATAATCCTTACTATAGACAAGATCTATAGTTTTGGAAAACCAAATATTTAATTAAAAATGTTTTCTTTTACGGGTTAAAGTGATTAGCGGAGGTGACTTTATATTGGAACTATTGGATTGTAAAACGATTTCACAAAATTTTGAAGTTTTATTTCTGGGGACCTAATATTTGGGCAGAATGGAATATAAATATTTACGACTTTTTTAAGTTTTAATCACTTATTTCTGGAGGCATTCGTATGTAGGCAAAGTGAAATAATGGAGCAATTCCAATCAGTTTAAATTTCCATTAAAGTAAAAGGAGTACTTTAAAATTATACTTTGAAGTAAAAATAAAATAAATATCAATACTTGGAAAATATATAATGGTAATTTCTAAACTTTTGGAGTATTTACATTTTCAAAGTAGTGTAAATTCAAAGTGTTAAGTTTTGCTTTTCATACAAATTTAAATACAAATTACCACAACATTTTATTTATTCTAAAAGGCACTTAAATGCAAAAAAAAACGTATAATAATAAACAAATATTATTAAACATGACACAACAACAATATTTACTTTTTGCAGGCATACCCCGCACACCTATGTAGTCAATTTATCTACGATTGTTTAGATGATTCAATAGCTTTCGAGTCCTCATTGTTTGTGTTCAGTTTGTAGACTGAATAGTTAAGAAGGGAGGCAAAACCTAACCAAGCAATGTATGGTATAAATATACAACCGGCAACTTTGTTGATGTTATAGAATAGAACACCACAAGTCGAAGCAGTTGCTGTCAAAGCAATTATGTCGATTAATCCCTGAAAAAGATAAAACTGAGTAATTATAGAAAAAAAGAAATAGTTAGAAAATTACATCATACCCCTTTGAGATTGTGTTGTCCAAAGAAAATAGGACTCCAGGCCCAATTCAAAGCCAGCTGCGAACCATAAACTATTAAGGGTAACTTGGCATCACCACTAAAACCACCACCATCTTTCCAAACCAAATAGGAGGCATAACCCATGCCCGAGTACAAAGCAGTCCACATTGGAGCAAACAACCAATTTGGTGGACGGAATGATGGATGTTTTAAAGTTTCATACCATGGTTTAATATTTTTCTTAGTAACAAAACCACCAGCAATGCCTCCCAAATTGGGGAGCACTACAGCTCCAGCAATTTTCAATATATCACTCATGTTTTTCAGATGTGGTGTAATTTATTAGCAAAAGTTAAACAAAACAGATACTTAAGTTCAAAAATAAATGTGTTTACTCTTTAAAGTACGAAATATGACTAAAAACAAGTTGGAAACATTTGGAATGCGCTATGTGTTACTTGCTCTCTTGAAATTCTATTGAGTTTATGCGAAATTAAAAATGATGTGTGTTTTCATTCGTGTTATATACTCGCTCATTAAAAGTATGTTTTGTATCTCTTTATATACATTCGTATGTATGTATATATAGGGTACTAAATATTAATTTTCTAGCTACACTTTTTAGGGGTATTCTGGCAATTTCTCGAATTAATAAACTGCTTATCAATTCGTAATTACTCCGCTTTTTTATTTTTATGTTCTACAAAATTATGTTAAAAATTGGAAATTGACAACCCTTAACTAAATCATAGATATTTTACTTTTCCGAAAATACCTATATTAATTTTACTATTTAGTTTATAACACATCGAAAGCTATATCATTTTTGGATCCAAAAATCTTAACAAAGATCAGAAATGGAAACCAGTTTGGGAAACCTCGATATGTCTCATATTTCTCCCCAAATTTTTCCAGACCCGAGTGAAATGTGGACCCAATGGGTAAAATTGTAAAAAATACGAATTAAACCCGTTCTTAGAGGATCAGTGAAGTAAACAATTTTACTCATGTCTATGGACTAGTCTATTGACAAGTGAGTTGACAAGTCGACTAACTATTAGGGTGATCGACTCGATTTTTCAACCGGTTTTAAAACCGGTTTTTTCTGCTTTACCAGTGTCGGTTTTTTCTTAATGTTGATTTTTCGAATATCGAATAACCCGGTTTTTTCACTTTTTAAAAACCGGTTTCGAGTACTTTTATTTGCTTTGTATTCAAAAATTATTTAAATGAAATTTTTAAGTAAATAATAATACAGCCCGTCTAAATTTTAAAAATATTCGATTCGAGGAACTAGCGTATATTTTTCTACAGCTCCTTTGGTTAAACTTCTTTGATTTTCCTAATTAATTAAAAAAATTTATTTGTAAAATTGATAACTGTTTGATAAAATTTTATCAATCTTAAGATTATATTCCAATTACAATAATTAATTTACGGCTGAAATTTTATGGAAGTGTTGGAATACCTATGCAAATTTCCTAAACAGGGCTTTTAAAATAAGCTAGAATTACATAGTATGTTTAACAGAAGTGTCCCACTTTTTTCCTATTTTTTTTATATTAAAGAAATAATGTAAATCAGAAGACTAGATCTAAAGTTATAATCTTTTAAACTGTTAAAAATCATTTCGGGCCATGTTTTATTAATCAAATTTAAACATAAACATTAAGTTTTTTAAATTAAAATATATTTTTTTTATTTATAATGAAAAACCGGTTAACCGGTTTTTTCTGTATTTGGAAAATATCAACCGGTTTTTTTTAAATGTCAACTATTCGAACTATTCGAAAACCGGTTTTTGGAAAATGTCGAATAATCGATCACCCTACTAACTATTCTATGTTCTAGTCATTGGTCTAGTATATGGTGTAATACATTGACTAATGTATGTGTAAAACAAGTAAGAAATTATAGTCGGGCGTGGCCGACCATATGATACCCTACACCAGTTATGAATATTAAATGTGATTTATTTTTCATAATAAAGCATTTCTCTTCAATATTCCCTTGTTCCGATACATTTAAGCAATTTATGGATGAAAAACTAATTTTCTGAAAGAGGCTTTATATGGGGGCTAGGGGCAAATATGGACCAAGCCCGATAAAATTTTGTGAATATATTTATATTGACATAATATTTTATTGTGCTGAATTTCATCGCGATATTTGTGTTTATAAGTTAATTTGGGACATTCAAGTAACTTTCTGAAGGGGACTTTGTATGGGAGCTAGGGTCAAATGTGGCCCGATCTTTATGAAATGAATTGAAATTGGCAGGGTCATCAAGACTTCTATAAAACTTAGTTGTGCCGTATTTTATCGATATATCTGTATATTTAACATAATTATGAGCTCGGAAGCCCTTTTCGGGGGGTTCTGTTGTATGGGGGCTAGGTGAAATAATGGACCGATTTTAACCATTTTCAATAGGCTTCGTCCTTGGGTCAAATAAAACGTGCGTTCCATCCAATTATCTTGAAAATTGCGACCTGTACCTTACGCACAAGGTTTACATGGACAGTCAGCCAGCCAGCCAGACGGACGGACGGACATAGCTTAATCGACTCAGAAAACGATTGGTATACTTTAAGGTGGGTCTAGGACGAATATTTTTGTATGTTACAAACATCAGCACAAATCCAATATACCCTCCCCACTAAAGTGGTGTAGGGTATAAAAATACTTAATATGTCTGCGGTATTTATAGCCTACACCACTTTAGTGGGGAGGGTATATTGGATTTGTGCTGATGTTTGTAACATACAAAAATATTCGTCCCACCTTAAAGTATACCAATCGGCTTAGAATCGTTTTCTGAGTCGATTAAGCTATGTCCGTCCGTCCGTCTGGCTGGCTGGCTGTCCATGTAAACCTTGTGCGCAAGGTACAGGTCGCAATTTTCAAGATAATTGGATGAAATTTGGCACGCACGTTTTATTTGACCCAAGGACGAAGCCTATTGAAAATGGTTAAAATCGGTCCATTATTTCACCTAGCCCCCATAGAACAGAACCCCCCGAAAAGGGCTTCTGAGCTCATAATTATGTTAAATATACAGATATATCGATAAAATACGGCACAACTAAGTTTTATAGAAGTCTTGATGACCCTGCCAAATTTCATAAAGATCGAGCCCCATTTGACCCTAGCTTCCATACAAAGTCCTCTTCAGAAAATTACTTGAATGTCCCAAATTAACTTATAAACACAAATATCGCGATGAAATTCAGCACAATAAAATATTATGTAAATATAAATATATTCACAAAATTTTATCGGGATTGGTCCATATTTGCCCCTAGCCCCCATATAAAGCCTCTTTCAGAAAATTAGTTTTTCATCCATAAATTGCTTAAATGTATCGGAACAAGCACTGTTGCCAACTTTTTTCCCAAAAATATCGCTAAAGTCGACTGAAAAATAGCTAGAAAATAGCTAAATTCAAGACATTTTGAAAAATTTAGCGATAAATCGTCAAAATAATATTTATTATATGATTCTGAAAAGAAATAGCTAAAAAAAACTAGCTTAATTTTTCAGATTTTTTATATTATTCTAAAAAGTCAGCGATTTATCGCTAAAATCTATATACATACGTAGGAATGGGATAGTGATACAAACACATCTTATAACAAACACATAAGAGAATCTTTTTTTATGTTAAATATTTTCACTTTGGGTTAGGAAAAATGTCAAGTTGAGGTTAATTTCGATATGCGACCCTATACAAATTGCTTTAGAAATGTTGTTAAGATAAATTGAATTTCGAAATGCTGGCCTGTATGGATCGATCCTTTATTTTCAGCATAAGAGTATTATTTATTTTTCCATTACAATACAATTACAAATTATATTCTAACCTAATTTACCGAGCAGGGTGACGATAACCATACGACCGTTGTAGTGTAGCAGACCAGGATCTCTGCTGGGAATCGAACCCACAACCCCCAGACTGACAGGCTAGCACACTACCAACTAGCCTACCGGGGCACCACAAATATTTGCTCCTAATTATGTTCTTCAGAACATTCAAAAACTCAAATAATTTACATTGAATGCATATTTTTATATACATACATATATGTAAATATCGTCATTCGTAGCAACTTTTAAGCGATATTATCAAAATATAAATGAATAAAAAATGCCTTATTGGCAACAGTGGAAACAAGGGAATATTGAAGATAAATGCTTTATTATGAAAAATAAATCACATTTAATATTCATAACTGGTGTAGGGTATCATATGGTCGGCCACGCCCGACTATACTTTCTTACTTGTTTTTATTTCAAAAAGAACTAAAGAAGATCAATAATATTGAATTTTCCATGCATGAATTTCGGCATTTTGTTATATAAACTTCGGCCTAATTGTATGCAACTATTTGGGCTTTTTTGTCATTATGTCGGGCAACCCTTAAACATATGCCAGGGTTTAAATAAAATAAACTTTAAATAGTGGGCAACTACAAGCAGCTAAAGACCAAGTTTGAAATATATTAATAAGGGTGGCAATACATGTATTTCGTTGCCATATCAACGGTTATTTTTTAAAACGAAAAGGAAAAACACAAAACAGAACTATTTTTTAAGTTGTAAAAGTTTCGGTGGATAAATATTAAAATGACACTACTGTTCGACACAAAAGTAGAATTTCTAGATTCAGATGCTGTTGGCACCATAGGTTCATGGCATTCACATGAACCTATATTTGCCGTAGCTTCTTATAGTCAAGAGAGAGGAGGTTCAGTAACAGTATTTGCGGATACAGTAAGTTTCCTTAAGCAATAGTTATTTCATAATTTTGATGTATATATTCAATAGGGAGAACCGCAACGTGATGTTACCTATCCCGTCCACCCAACATCACAATGTACCGCCATGGCTTGGCATCCAGAAAGGGTTCTCTTAGTTACCGGATGGGAAAATGGTGATATACATGTATGGTTCGCGGGACATCGTGAATTTGCTAGTGTAAGTGGTCCCCACAAAGCGGCCATAACAATGGTCGAGTTTAGTGAACAGGGTGGACGTATGGTGACAACAGACACTATGGGTCTCTTAACTGGTTGGCGTTGTGATGGTCAATATCAGTTTTTAACTATGTTCTCACATGATTTGCGAGATGTTTTAACGCTGATAACATTTCGCTGCACTATATGTAGTGAGTTAAGAGAAGAAATGGTAAATTTAGCTAAAGCTGCCGTGGCGGGTGATGAAAATGCCTTGGACACCTTAACCAATTGGAGGCCACGGACAGCGGTACGTACAGCTACTCACACGGATATAAAGGATAATTATTGTTTTTATGTGTGCACTCAAGTCGGACGTTTGTATTATATCAATCAAGGTGGCACCTGTACTGAAGTATTGGGCAATAATTCGATTCCCATAACTCAGATGTTATGGCATCCGAAAAAGTAGGTGTTTTTGATGTTATTTAAGAGAAATGTTAATTTTATCTTAAACTTATTTTCAGAGATGCTGTAGTTTGTTTAATGGATGATATGTCGGTTATTTTGTATTTAGTAGAATCTACAGGTATATTAACCGAATTGGATCGTGTTAAATTAAGCAGTCCTATAACTGGTAAAAAGGGAGCTATAACCTGGACAAGTTCAACATTGGCTATAATAACTGGTTAGTAGAATAAATGATTTGTTTAGAAATACTTATTTATTAGATGATGAAATTACTAAACAACTTTTCAAAAGTTTTAATAGCAAGGCACAATCTGAATTGTGAATTCGTGTGACCGATAATTAGACACACTTTGATTATCTTAGTAATATATTTTTATCAGAAAAACTTTTTTTCTAAATAAATTGATAAGGTAACAGTTTTAGTACTTTAGTACTTCTGTTTCATTATCTTTTAGCAAAATAGCCATCTTAAAATATGATGCAATTTTTTCCTACTGGCTGGACTACAGTAAAGACTATAGATTGTTCTATGGTCAAAACTGAAACTGGTCTATAATCAGGACTATAGTCAAGACTATAGACAATTCTATAGTCAAGACTATAGACAGTTCTATAGTCAAGACTATAGACAGTTCTATAGTCATGACTTCTACATTATACAAAATTCCGACTGCTTTTAGACTTAAAATCGTCCTCGGCAAACATAACAAACAATTTCTTATAGATTCTAAAAATGTATTTCCTTATTAAAACCTTAACTCTTTTTTAATAATTACTTTTTACAGGCGATCTATCCGTTCGCATTTGGGACATCGAAAAAAGTGACAATTATTTGCTAAAAATGGACTTACCAAGCAATAAAGCTCCCGTAGAACATCAAACTACTGCATCTCAATTTTTCAGCCACGATAGTAATGAAAATAATTCTCTGGCAAATCATTTAAATGGAAATGGTGGCACTCTACTCAGACCCATGAAAAGTATTCAAAATTCTAATGAATACTTCACCTGTATCACTTATATTGGCGATAATCAAGCTTTATGTGCTGGTACTAATTTGGGTAATCTTTATACTTGGAAACGTACTTCAGGTTATATTCCAAATGCCCCAGAAGATATGTGGAAACTTACAAATGTTTCGGCTGTAAGAGGAGCTATTAAACAGTGTTTTTGGGGTTTTAATGAGTTGGCAAAACCTTGCATTTTGGTAAATTGTGTTTCTAATGTTTATGTTTTGAAGGAACAGCCATTGCTTTCTCAACACACCCGCGAAATATGGGCCATACAACAGAGTGCTCGTAATATTTTTCTACAGCATGCTGATCAAAGAAATTGTGTGGTTCAGGCGGAATTTAGTGTAACGGTTTTGGCTTTGAGCACTACAAATTTGGCTTTAAGTAATGGTCGTAGTATTTCCACCTATAATATAGATAAAGTCGATCGTTTGTCAGATTTTGGCAATAGTCTAGAATCTTCTTCAAGTGGCTCTTTAAAAAATGATAAAGCTACTAGTCTTAGTGTAAAACTATTGCAGACATTTAATGCCGAATGTTTGGCTTTGTGCATTAATCATCAGAATATATTTTGCTTGACAGCCATAGATGTGAGTGTTTATTCCATAGGTGGAGTGGTGCTACATAAGATCCAAGCTAGTTCTACCGAAGGCAAGATTATAGGCATGGATCTTACATCATGTTATTTTTCCATATTTACCATGAATGGTTATATCAAAACTTTTGATATCTCCAGACATGATCCCAAGATATTATTTCCACCCAAATCGGCTTATGATTTGTTTGAAGATTTTGGAGAAGTTATGCAGGTTAAATGTAATGCCAGTGGCACCCACTTGGCTTTGATTATAGCTAATCGCAGTTTTGTTCCAAAACCTGTTTTATATTGCTGGGATTTTGAGAAAAATGTTTTAATGGAGCAAGATTTATTGGATAAGGAAACGGAAAAAAGTTCAAGTTCCTGTATGCCTGTTTCTGTATGGTGGGATATTGAAGAGCCTCGACTTTTGGCTTTAGAAATTAAAACTATGCAGCAAAAGTCCAGCACAGATAAAGCTAAAACCCAAGAGAATGCTGCTCACTATGTAGAAACTAGTGTTTGGGTTATGTTTTATTCGGAAAAAAATAATTTAAACGTTTTAGAGACTAAGGATTTGGATGCAGGAGAACAATTACTTAATATATGCATACCTAATGTTGTAAGTTTTAAATTAAACTTATTATAATTTATCAGCTCTTACAAGAAATTCTTATTAGATTACAATAGACATTAATTTGGTACGCGAAAAACCTTTAAGAGATTTTGTTGATCTTAAGGACTGTGAGCCCTCAACCCGTAAAATGGTTTTAAACTTTAGCATGCATGTTTCCGAAGGTAATATGGACTTGGCTTATCGCAGCATTAGATCGATACAATCAAAGGCGGTGTGGTCAAACTTGGCCAAAATGTGTATTGAAACCCAACGTTTAGATGTCGCCAAAGTATGTTTGGGTCATTTGGAAAAGGCTAGCTCTGTAAGAGCTGTAAGACAAGCCTTAGAAGATGATGATCTAGAGCAAGATGCCAAAACGGCTGTATTAGCCACCGAATTGGGTATGAGTGAAAAAGCTCAGGAGTTATTTCGAAAATCAGAAAGATATGATTTATTAAATAAACATTTGAGATCGTTGGGTCAAGTAGATGAAGCTATAAAGTTGGCAGAAACACATGATCGTATAAATTTGAAGAATACCTATTTTCAAAAGGCTACCGAATTAAGAGAGAATGGTGATATTTCGGGAGCTTTACAATACTATGAAAAAACACAAAATCCGGTACAGAATATTACACAAATGCTGTTGGAAAATCCGGCATCAATGAAGGTTAGTGGGATATATAACGAACATAGCTAGATCATTTCAGACTCTTTTAAGTGACCAGTTTTTAAAACGGAATGATATATTTAATGAAATATTACTATTTTAGCGTTATATGCAAAACACAACTGATCCAAAAATGCTCAAATGGTGGGGACAGTATGTAGAAAGTTCGGGTGACATGGATGCTGCTTTAACTATATATCAAAAGGCAGAAGATTGGTATTCCCAGGTAAGTATACAAAGTAATTTTTATTAAAAAAATTTACTTTATTATTCATTAAAATTTCTAGGTCAAAATACTTTGTTACTTGGGTAAAATATCGAAAGCCGACGCGATTGCCCGACAATCAGGCGATCGGGCTGCTTGCTACCATTTGGCTCGTCATTATGAAAATGTGGGCAAATTTCAAGATGCCATTATGTTCTATACCCGAGCTCAAACCTTTAGTAATGCTATACGTATATGCAAGGAAAATGATTTTCAAGATGAACTTTGGACTGTAGCCAGTTCTTCGAGAAGTCGTGAAAAAGCCATAGCAGCAGCTTATTTCGAAGAGTGTGGTTCTTATAAAAGAGCTGTTGAGCTATATCATCGAGCTGGCATGCTGCATAAAGCCCTAGATATGGCTTTTGAATCGGAGCAGCCTGATATATTAGAAATAATAGCCTCGGAATTAACAACAGAATCCGATCCCGAGTTAATACAACGTTGTGCGGAATTCTTTATGAGCGTGGAGCAACATCAAAAGGCTGCTCTTTTATTAGCCAAGACAAAACAGCTTAAGAAATCCATACAGATATGTGTGGAAAAGGGTGTACCCGTTACCGAAGATTTGGCGGAAATGTTAACACCTGCTAAAGGTGAAGTAGATGAGGAATCGAGGGTTTATATTTTAACTCAGTTGGGAGAGTTATTGCAGCAACAGGGTGACTACCATACAGCTACTAAGAAATTTACGCAGGCTGGTGATAAAGTTAGAGGCATGAAAAGTTTACTTAAGTCGGGTAATACCGAAAAGATTATTTTCTTTGCCAATATGTCGAGACATCGTGAAGTTTATATAATGGCTGCCAACTATCTACAGGCACTCAATTGGCAAGAGGACAACAATATATTAAAACATATTGTTACATTCTATTCGAAGGGTCAGGCCTATGATTCGCTGGCTAATTTTTATGCCATTTGTGCTCAAATAGAAATCGATGAATTTCATAATTATGAGAAAGCTTTAAAGGCCATGCAAGAAGCTCATAAGTGCTTAGAAAAGCTAGGAGGTCATACCCAACAGGCTAGCAACAATTTGCAGCGCACTATGGTGGAAGTCAAAAATATATTGGATTTACAAAATGCTTTAGAAAACGGAGAAAATCAGACGGTTATAGCAGGATGTCGTAATATGTTAAGTAGGTATTTTAATTAAATTAAATAGAATGTGGTATATATTTTTAAAAACTCTTTTTCTGCCTTATATACAGTCAAACCTGAAATGCCTCCCATACGTCAATCGGATATTATAGCATTAATGGTACGAGCCCTGACCTATACCAAACAATATAACGAAGCCGCCAAAGCCTTGAAAGAATTAGTAATGCGTGAACCAAACTGGAGTTCATCGGGTGTACTGGAAAAATCTTTGGTACAAAAAATCGCTCACGAATGTAATCTAGATTTTGATTTGATATGGAAACCTATGCATGGCTCTTCGTCTAATAATGGCGAAGACAGTGATGATGATCATGAAGATATACAGGAAGTTTTGCGTTAATTTTTTATATTCTTTGAACTTTAAGTGTAAATTATGTAAAATCTTAAATGTGTTATCAAAGGTTACGAATATGACTTTATGATCTCTTTATGCTAAAAAATAGATACTTGAATATATTTTGTTAAAATATAATTGTTGTAAAAAGTACTTAAAAAATATTTATTCACATTTGATGTTAGTGTTCAGATTAGATTGTGAACGTTTTAAGCATGTTTAATTTTATAGCCAGAATTTAATGTGAAATTCTCTTTGGAATTTCATATTTGTATTTATATGAAATAATTAGATAACTTTTGTTGACATTAATGCTCAAATTATTATACCTCATTACGTCATCAACAAACCTAAAAAGATATTTTTTAATAAAAGTTTAGGATTGGTTTTTAGGGAAATTAAATTTAAACAATTTATTAATTTTTAGTGAAATCGGATAATCGGATTTTAAGTGAAAATAATTATTTTTAATTATTTTTAGTGATAAACTTGATTTTGTAGTGTAAAGATAGATTTTTAATTTTTAGTAAAATCGAGAAATCAATCGGATGCATATGGAACGAAACTTATGATCCTTGGTATTAGTGAATCTTGTACAGAACAGTATAATGTTTCTTAAAACTGGTTCTAGAATTGATTCTGAATATGTATATGTGTATTTGTTTTCTAAGGTTAGGTTAGGTCAGGTTAGGTTACGTGGGTTGCTCGGTAGTTAGCGAGTTCACTCGGAGGCCTTGTGGTCCATTGTGATACCCTTAGAATTGCCATTCCCTTATGTTGAAAGAATGGTTACCCTCCCTAATTTCGATGATTATTAGGTTCTTGCGGTCATCTTGAAAACCAGCCGGTTTTCCTAATAAAACCGATCATGTTTACTAGTGACACATCTTTAAGACATTCCAGATCATGAAAAAAAGCTCCACCAAAATATAGTAATCTGTGATCTTGTAAGGCTGAGCAGTCACATAGCAGGTGTTGTACCGATTCCACTTCCTCTTCGTCCAAACAGCTTCTACAGTAGTTATAATGTGGGTAGCCCATACGTTCCGACATACATGTGTTCAATCATACAGTGCCCAGTAATTATACCAGTTAGAAGCACAATCCTTTGCGCAAGGGTTAAGTGGGAACGGGTCTAGCATAAGATTAACATGGACAGATAATGCTAGACAACACTGAAAATGCCATTTAAATAAAAATAGCTAATTCCAATGTATTTCCACCCGCTGATTTCAAAAATTTTCTGTTCTGCAAAATAAAGTAAAAAAAATGGCGTAAACAATGTCTGTACTAAAATCGCAATATCTCAAAAACTAGAGCTAACCGAAAATTTTAGTAACGATTTTTGAACTCAGCGGATGGAAATACATAGGAATTAGCTATTTTTATTTAAAAGGCACGCAAAAAGTTCGATTTTGTTGACTTGTGTAATTGTCTAGTAAATCGTTTATAAAATATAAATGTCTGTGAGGAAGAATAAAATTCTGTATACATATTGTTTAGTTAAGTTTCAAATTTTCGAATTGACGTAAACTTTTAACACAACTTACCTACAAACAGGTGTATGAGCTAGCCTATAAAAAAGTATCTTTTTATCTTTATCTACTGAAATGAAAATTCAAAGACAAATAAAAAGCTTAAAGAAAAACATGTTTAACAAACACAAAGCACAATAAGAAATGAGAGAAACCAATAAAAAAAGAAATCAAAACTAAAAAAAACTTCGTATCTTGAAGATGGAAACACATTATTACTCGTGTATAGAGTTATTTCAAAGATACTTTTCTTTATTTGAATGAAACTAACGAAAGGGAATGGGTAAGGGCGGAGATATAGGGTAAATGAGAAAGTTAATGATGGATTTAAGTGTGTGAGGCTGTGTGTAAGAAATTGTTTAGTTATAATTACAGAGCATATTTTATTCAACAAATGATTAGACATGGGGAAAAAAGTATCTAAGTATCTACGGACGTATGTGTGTTCAACACGGTGGTCAACAATTATTTCGTGAGTTCTGTTTATATGCACATGCTAGCCAAAAGATGGGAGGTATGTTGATTTTGACATTATGTTTGTAACACATCAAAATTTTTTTATATTAGCCATCAAAGTATTCAAAATATTCTGATTATCGCAAATGTTTGCTATTGGAAATAAAGAGCAGAAATCAAAATGACATTTTCAAAAAATACTCTGTGTTGATCATGAAAAATTCGGTAAAGAAAAAACAAATTAGAATTTTCTTGTAATTTATGCATCTGTCTAAGGAAAGGGAACTAGAACATAAGGCTAAAAGCAGTACCGTTAAAATCTTTTAAATCACGTTTTTGGGTGGCGGGTATAAAAAATTCGGCGTAGCCTAATACAAAACACATACACAACACAGCTTTTATGTGTGATTTTTCTACGCAAATTTTTTTCTTCGAGTGTATTGATTTTAATAAGTGCTTCGTATGTATGATTGTGTTGCTATCTAACTGACAGACGGACTGACTGGCTGGTTAGTCGGCTGACCGGCTGGCTGACTAGTTGCTTTTTGTGTGCGGTTTTTTGTTGTTATTTTATTTTTGTGTATTTCCACTTTGCTGTCATTCATCTTTATTTGTGTTTTACTCACTTGCTAAAAGCGTATTTGTTGTAATCGTCGTCGTTATTGTTGTGTATTTCAATTTCTGTTCACAGTCGTCTGCTCGGTTCACTTTTGCTATCAATTGACTGTGGCCATACATTAGGATTTCAGTCATTTTTTGAGTTCCAAGCTGGAACGACGTGTAAAATAAGAAAAAAGGCACTCTGTTGCATATTTGGCACAGAAGAAGGAAAACGAAGAAATTTCAGTTTTTTTTTTTTTGGAAAACACGCGATTTAAACTTCACTTTAAGTAAAAGTGATTAGTGTGATTTTATTTAGTGTTGTATTCATTCGGCTCTGATCGTTTTCGTTTGTAAATTGTATTGTTATCGTTGTGGACCTCTTACAAGTCAAAAAATCACGAATATTGCAAAACGGGCTATGAATTTATTAGAGAAGAGGGCAACGACGCGTTATTAGATACAAAAAAAAAAAACAAGAAAAAAATCGCTTAAAACGTCAAAACGCACACCTTAAAATCAATGAACCTTTTTCATAATTTGTTCTTAATTAACAACATCTGCTGAAAGGATTATTATATTGATTTTCCACATAATTTTAAACAAATTTTAGTTAAAATTTTTAGTTAATTTGTAATCTTTTGTTTTACGTAAAAAGGTAAGTTTGTAATTACGAAAAAATTTAATTGAAAAATTTGTAAATAATTTAGTGGTTTCGTTTCGTGTTTTTTTTTTACAAAATTGAGGCCATTAAGTGTAGATTTTGTATACATAAGTATGTATAGTGTTTTTGTATTTTGTGTATTTAATTTTTTATTACTATTCATTTCTATCTTTTCCTGTGATCTGTCAGTTGTATGCGATTTTGTATGGCAGAGATGGAAAGTTTATTATTTATTGTCGATACATTTTATTAATATTGGAAATGGAAACTTAGCAGCAAGCAACGGAAGTAGTTGATGGAAAACGGACTTCATTTTTTAAATATTTTGGTGAAAGAATGTTAAACCATTTTTCAGGCTTTAAAATGAGAACTCATGAAACGTCCTAATCCAGTTGAATTATAAAGTAGGAAATATTTTTGCTAATTTTTGAGCTTTAAAGGTACTTTTTGGCTTATTTTTTGTTTAAATAATTTGGACCATTTTAAATTTCAGATCAGTTGAGATTTTTTTTTTTTTTTTTTGTAAAAATCATCCACAACTTCTTCCGTTTATGACCTATTGTGAAGTGGATTACACTTTGATGACCAATGTGTACCAAAACGAAATGACAATTTCTGAAATAAAGATATTAGATTTGTTTTAAAAATAATTTTTTTTTTGTTAATACCGCCATTAATCTTATAACGTTTATTTACAAAATTTATTTTATGATTGTCATATAAAAAATATCAAACTTCCATCCCTGTTTATATTTTAGTCGATCTGTTGTCTTGCTTCATTCTCTTTTGTTTGTATTTTGTGCGACGACGGTCAAGGTTAAACCTTAACAAGTTTAAAGTTCGGTTTATATTATTTTTTCATACAAAAAAAATGTATTTACTAAATCAAGTTTTTTTTTAAATAATGATTTGTAAAAATACCTATTTAAATTTATAAATACAAAAACTTTTACATACAAATGGCGCGTGTATAATGGCAAAATTAGACTTTTCAATTGTCAATTTTTGAAAACAGCAATCACTCAAATGTAACAGTAAAACGTTAGTTTTTCTCATTTAAAAATTGAAAAATCGAATCTCTCGCACTCTCTTACATTTTCCTCGAAAGCTGGAATAAGTTTGAGTTTAAAAAATTATTACAAAATATTTTATTCCATTAAAAACACTCTCTATGCTTGGTTCTGCTCTTTATTCCATTTCATTTAACTTATTTATGCATATTCTCTCAATTATAAAAAATTGTTTTAAATTTAATAAACTACAATGTATAAATAAGAATTAAATTGTTGTTTCTTTTTTTTATTGAAATTATATAATAAAACATTGGAGCTAATGGAATTTATTTAAAAATTTATATTTGTTTCTCCATTTATATTACGTACTTAATGCAAAATTCACCCTAAAAGAGCAACAACTTGTTGCGTTTATTTTTGTTTTCGCATTTTTGCAAACTGAAAAATATTGTGGATTTTTTTATAATTTAGTCTACTCATGCTTACACGTCTACAATAAACATTAGCTGGTGATAATAGACTAGACCGCCGCCTCCTTCTTCTTATTTAATAAACAAATTTCAACAATTATAAAATTTTTCATTTATAATATAAACTTTATATGCATCATCTCTCTAATATTTTGCTTTCATAACAACAGAGAAAATTATCTCGTAAATATACATACGTCTATATTTATTTGATTAAAATTGCTAACAATTTGATACATTGTACTATTTTAATTGTGCATCAAGTAAA